TGTGTGTGTGTCTGTGTGTGTATACCAGGAAGAACAGGAAGACAGAAGACACATTCAACATCTGTATCTGTCCTGAGTTTTTTATGAATCAATCAAATGAATCTTTGTTTTATTGACTTCTGTGACATGGTTAGCATGTGTCTGGCATGTGTTGATCTGTCATGGCTGACAGGGTGCAGACGATTGCAAAAAGTTGTTGTTATTATTCTCAAGCTGAGCAGCCAAATCACAACAAACCACACAACAGTGTGTTTCAACATTTTTAATTAAAAATAAGCAAAATATGCAGCTAATTTTGTCCATTAGAACAACAGATGCTACAATAATTGCTCATTTTAATGCATAAGAAAATACAAACAAGTTATTTTTAACCTCTCATGTTCTTATAATATTTGCATGTTCTGTTTAAGCACAAGCATAAGCAATAAAATAAATAAATTGTGCCTATTTTGTCTCAAGGTAGGTTCTATGTTCTTCACAAACCAAACTCAACAACTGTTCTTTGATAAACATTATTAAATAAATAAATAATTCTATAATATTATTATAAAACAATGACTATTTCGAGAATACTATGCTTATTGAGACAAAATGTGAAATTTAATGTATTTGCGATATGTTGCAACTGTCTCTGATCTGTTTTGCAACCGTCCCCAGGGATGGAGTTAGTTGCAGTCAGTCAGTTGCTGTTCTTCCATTCAGATAAATATTGTGAATATTACTTGATCTGTCATATGTAATCATTTCTAAAGGTATGGGCAATTATCAGACAGATGGAAGTTTTATATGTAAAAGTTTGGTTGGTCCAGAACAAACAGTCTCTGAGAAATGCAAAGTGCTGCAACTGTCTTTAACCTACCCCTGTGTGTATATACTGTATAAGGGGATGAAGTAATGCTGCAGGGCTGTCCTTGATGTTGTATTTCACTGGTGCAAATACCCTGAATTAACCACCTGACACACAGTGAACATGAGCAGTTTGACCAGCTCATAGTAAACTACAGTGTGTTTTCATGGTTCACCCAGGGCAACAGTGTGGATCATTCAGTGTTTTTAGACATGTTTGGAAACAATGGAGCTCTTTGGCTCAGAGGATACATCAGATACATCAGATACATCAGATTTACATCAGACATATATCAGGAGTTAGGTTTTGCTTCCTGTCTTTGTTCTAAGTGCGGCCTGTGGCTGTATGCATCGATTTCACTCTCATTTCTGTCCTTTTATCTCTAAACTTGTTCTCAGCTCAAACTTTATGAAAATCTTATGTTAGTTTTGTCATCAATCAGCTTCCATAACATCCTCCCTCTCTCCCTCCTTCAGTGATGATGACATCATCTTTGAAGACTTTGCCCGCCAGCGGCTGATCGGGGCGAAAGACGACAAGGATGAGGATGAAGAGCCAGTGGACTCGCCGAAACTCAATGACAGATAAAGGCGATGAGCGTCACCGCCGCCACTGCTGTTATTGTTTCGCTGCCATTTGTAGTGTGGAGCTAATGGAGGTCACCTTTAGGTCTAACCACAGTCTGGACACCCTTTAAACACTCGGTGGTGCCGTGTTTGTGTTCTCGTTCATGTCCGTCCTCTCTCTGCGTCCTGCTGGAGTGTAAAAAGCTAGATTACCACAGCCTAGACATCTGTCGTGGTGGAGCAGCTCTCCACTCCCATGCTGGCCGGCTGAAGCGTTGAACCGGCGCTCACAGAATCTAAACGATGACTGGTAGCATGCTTTACTTTATTCTACGTGTTTCCATTAGGGACCGAACAGGAGTAACATTGTGCTGAGATTAGTTTCGATGTGTCGTATCAGAGGGTCTTTATAAACAACAACACTGCCAACTTGGGTTGATCTGGGACAGCTCTCCACCACCTGGAACCACAACATGGACTGGAGCTGACAGAGGTTTTTGTTCATGAACCTTCCACAGTCAATATGTGTGTGTGGACGAAGCTGCAGAACACAAAGAAACACCAGAGGAGAAGAGACCTGCAGGACGTCCTGACCAGCCGAGAGGACCTCAAACTGTCAGAGTCGCCAATCAGCTGAAAGGAACCTTTGGCCTAGTTTGCATGAAATACATCAGTACTTTATATGATTTATTAATGTCATGAATAATCAACCCATTATAGAGGATGATCCGGATTTTAAAGGAACATACAAGTGTTTGTTGTTTGATGTTTTCATGTTGATCATTTTCCAAATCATCACCAGTATTTGGAACAACGTCATTCCACGCACACAGCTACAGCAGCTTCCACTTCAGTCCGATGAAAATCAGCTGGCAGAGAGATGACGGTCGCTGTCTGAACCTTAGTTCTTTATACTGACTGAAATGTGTGTGGCACAGATTCATCATGTTGACTTTTCCTTTTATCAGACAGTTCCTGATATAAAGTTTTATATTGTATTTTATCAAGCATCAACCTCCTGGGCTGAAAAATGAAGCCAACACTGAAGACCTAAATGCTGCAGTTCCTCTAATGACCACTAGAGTCTGGCTCCAACAGTGAGTCAATCTTCATAGACCCCCATGTTAAAATGTCCAACTTTACAGCAGAAATAAACATGTTTACAGCCTGGTACAAAAACAGTTTTGGTCTCTAGAGCTAATTTCCTCCTTCATGACGACTGTTTATATAACTCACCTGTTTACATTTTATTAAGACTTAAAGTTATGTAGAATTGAGGGTGTTGCCTCTTTGAGTGACAGGAGGGTGAGTGTATGCCCGCCACAAACCGTCATTCACCGACGTCTCTGACCGACTTAAGACCCTCCGTTTGCCCGTTTTTTTAATAGCCCATTGGGAGGAGTAAGGCACTGCCAAGATGGCGACAGTGGAGCAGCTCACTGTGAACTCCAAAACCACTCTTCAGAACCCTGTGGGTGACGTCACAGAGGCTACGTCTATCTTTATTTATCTCTATGTATTATACTAAGATGAACAATGTTGGCTTTTTTTTCAATTAAATTATATTTCTCATAGTATCGACATCAAAAAAGTCCTACTTTGTTATCTTAATGGCTCTACTTTTGAAACACTATTTAAGCAATCAGTGTTAAAAAACACCCACACATCTGTCTTGTCCAGATGCTAAATCCAAAAGAACTGTAACTGTGAATCTCTCAAATGCCTTGTGACATTGTTCACTGCTCCCTTTAAACTGTCATCTTCATTATATAAAGGAAATAAAGTTTTAGTCACAGTTGATTCCATCAGGAACAGAGGAACTGAAAGTTGTTCCTTAAAAATCAATGATTGAGCGAGTCTTGGAAGTATGATCATTGAATGCACCAACATTTCTCAACAGTCCCTGCTTTCATGTGCATTACCATGGTGATAACAGACCTTTGTCCAAAAGTAAAGGATGGGAGTTCTCTGCTGGCTGATTTTCAATTTAAAAACTGGTGTATGATTCAGAAAATGATCAGCGAGGACGTAATGTAAACAGGATGTATTAATCAAATAACGGTTGAAAAAAAAATATATAGAAAAAAAACCCACCAGTATGGTCCTTTGATGAACAAATATTATTCATATCAGGAGACTTGATGAGGTGTAATTACTAAACATATATTTTACAAAACAAATGTTTAATTTGAACATTCAAAATAAAGCAGTGCCAGTCTGAGACGTTGCTCCATGTGAACTGAGTCAGTGTACAGATGTGTCATCAGTACTGTGTGTGTGAGTGTGTATGTGATGATGGAGAGAAGACGTCACTCTTTCCCTAACTAAATCAATCAGTTTTTTTCTTCATTGTAACATTATATTACAAGATAAAGATCAAAAACACCCAAAATATCTTTATTATTTCTAATATTGTTTGAATTGGCTTTTATTTTGACAGGGCCAGGAGAAAACCTGTATATCCCACTGCATCTTTAATAAAGGGACGTTTGTGGCAACCTGTCTGTTTTGGCTTCATGATGTTTTTCAAATGGAACAAAAAAAAACATCACTATGGAAACAAGCATCACACTCAGGGACTTGATTTTGAGTCCTGATGATTATACATAATCAGGTTTTATGTTTAAACATAAACACATAATATAAAATGATATTTTTGATAAGGATTCCTTAAATGCGGTTTTTAAAATTTCTCTCCCGACATGTTTTAAACTCTGTAAAACTCCTCTCCTATGATTCATATTTAGTTGAACCTGGTTTTCACATATAAAAACTGGGTCTGAAGCTCTTACTCTTACTTCCTGATTGAGAAACGTGGATCAGCCCTTGAGCCCCGCCCACCACCTGCTTGCTTCAGGTGGACAGGTGAAAGAGCAGAGAGTATCAAGATGGTTAGAGGAGGAAACATCAGAGAGACTCAGCAACATGTTTGAGCCTCAGTCAGACCCAGACTCAGATGAGGAGTCTGAGACCAGAACCAGAGACTAGCAGACGGATCAGAACGGTTAGCGCAGTTAGCATCTTTTATTTGTTAATGTTGTTTGTTAGCTTGTAACTGGCAGTGGCTAACACAGTGTCAGCGGTTGTGTCAATACTAACCCTCTCTCTCTGTACTGACAAGGTTTCAGGTTTATTTAGCCCCGCCCACTGTCCCCACAAGTTGACAGGATTGGTTCCTTAGGTTTGTGACGTATGAAACCCTGACTGTCTGAATCTGTGTTTATGAGACATTGGTTCACTGCAGTTCAAGGTGGAAACACTCCTTCATGGTATTGATTATTATTTCTCTCTTGTATTATGTAAAAAGGTTGAACACTGGATTTTCATCAGAGGGATCTTTAAAAAATTTTAAGCCAAATATGTCGTGTTTGTGAAATTTTGCAATGTAAAAATAAATAAAAGTTCCCTTTGTTGGATTAACTCTTTAATGCCCACAAGGTTTCTAAATGACCTAAAACATATCTCTGACATTCTGTCTGTAGCTGTAACTTGTCAGATAACGTGTGTGAGCAGCTGTATATGATGCTGATGTTTTGTCACCATAGTAAAATAACTCACATGACTAAGCCACAACACCAACATTAGAGTACATCTAAAACAAAACTCAAAAATGTTATTACATTATTCAGAACCAATTTTAAAACCATTCAAGTTACTCCTGGCTGATTTTGTTAATTGTTAATTCTGTAAGGTTCTGTAAATGAGATTTAGAACACTACTACAGCAGCAAACAACTATTCTCTATATAAAGATATAGTGGAGTAATAGAGTCTTGAATAGAGAACAAAGCCACACCCCCTCTGTGTGTGTTGCACTGTGAGTTTCTCTGGTCTTTGTTTTGGTAGCTGGTCTGGCAGGATGTTTTCATCTAAACAGGCCTCAGACAAAGAAATAGATGAGACCAGAGCACAGGTGGAATGGACCGAGGACTATCGCCTCAATTCCTGGAAGGCTGGTGGACCGTTAAAACATCCAGAAAGTTAAAAAAGAGTCATTCGTGCGGCTGGTCGTAGTGTATCAGTCCGAAGAAGCATTTGTATTGATCTGAGACGCTGTTGCTTCAATGCAACATCTAGTGTCAGTGATGATCCTTCACAGAACCTTTAAAATACAATACAAGGAGCCTGTAAATTAAAAAAAAAAAAGATGAATAAATGTGAGTTTCTTTCAGAAAACAGACAAATGTTAATGTTCGTCAAAAACAGATCAGACATTCATATAAAGCAGAAAAACTTTGTCACGTTTGCCTTTTTCCAGCAGGACAAACTTTTATTGGCATTATTCTCTTTGTTCTGAGTTTAAAAATCCTAAAGAAGCCATTGCGGATTTCTTTAGTCCGAACTCCGTAGATGATGGGGTTGATGGTTGCTGGGAACAGGATGTATATGAGTCCCATGAAGGTGTTGATGTCCGTCGGTATGGGGATGTTCAGGTTATGAGAGAGGAAGGTGACGCTGCCCACCAGGTAGAAACACATCATGACGATCAGGTGAGTGCTGCAGGTATGAAATGCCTTCCAGCGGTCCTCCCCGGCTGATGCTGCTTGCAGGACGATGCTCAGGATCCTCATGTAGGAGAAGAAGATGAGTGAGATATCCACGCCCACAAAGCAGACGATGACGGCGAGGCCTGCGGTGCTGCTTCTCTCAGTGCTGTCACAGGCCAGGCTGACCAGCGCCATGTGATCGCAGTAGCAGTGCTGGATCACGTTGGAGCCGCAGAACCACAGCGAACCGGCCAGACCGACCAGCGTCGCCATGATGGAGATGCTGCGCAGCAGAGTGAAGACCAGCAGCCACATGAACATGGAGGAGTCTACGATTTCAGCGTAGCGCAGTGGCTGACAGATGGCCACGTAGCGGTCCAATGCCATAGCCAGCAGCAGCGTGGACTCCACTGAGGACAGGAAGTGAGTGAAGAACATTTGACTCAAGCAGCCGGCCAACGAGATCTCGTCCCAGTCAAACAGGAGACCGAGGAGCATGTTAGGGATGATGGTGATCACCACGAGGATGTCGACAACGCAGAGCATGCAGATGAGCAGGTACATGGGGCTGTGCAGACTCTCCACGCGGCGGATGACGTGAACCAGCAGAGAGTTTCCCAGCAGCACTGACAGGAAGGAGCCGGAGAAGGGCAACGCCAGCAGCCAGCGATGTCCGTGCAGCACAGGGAAACCTCTGAATACAAAGGTGCTGTGGGAGAAGTTCCTGCCCAGCGACACCTGCAGCATGGTGCCGGCTTCACCTGAGCAGGTAGTTCAGATGGAGACAGTCAACAAGCAACATCTGAGAATGTCTGTGATTCAATGCTATTATATGTCTGCAAATCATTACCATCACAACAGTGTACATCACTCTATCTACAGTCAGGTCAAGACCTCACAGTCTCACAGACAGAAACCAACAGCTCCACCATGAGCAGCTGGAGGGAGAGAGAGAGAGAGAGAGGAGAGAGAGGGAGAGAATTTTGACCTTTAACTAACCCTTTATCAGTCCAATTTTCCAGTCAAATTAAACAAACACAAGGAAGTTAAACACATACATTCCTCCTTACAAAACAAACAAAAAAATAGAAATAAACAGATAACAATTTTTGTTGGCGTTTTCAGAAACTGAGAACAAATGAGTTACGAGAAACACTACACAGACATCCCCAAATCCCAAAATAGACCTAAACTATTTTACACTTTTTTATAATAAACAAACTCTAGTCTAAGACATGTAGTCACCAGACCTTTGAACATACTATCAACATCTACAGAACCTGTCCTCCTCATTCCATTCCTTCTAGTGAGTGAAGGGATATGTTATGTTTACTACTGTATGCATTGTATGATTAAAAAGGCAAATCAGCCTTAAACTGATGATTATGATTGTTTATGAACATTGTGACATGTGAACATTGAACATTGTGACCCTGATTGCCGTTTGAGATTGCAGAATGATGTACAGGGACAGACAAGAAAGTACAAGTATGACATGATTAGATAACAGGATCAGGTCAGAGTGGTGTGAGGAGAGAAGAGGCGGAGTGACCCTGTTACACAGAGAATGTGTGTATAAGAATAAACGTCAAATGCTCATCTAGCCTTGACCAAGTAAAAAATGAACCAGACAGACAAATCTGCTACAGAAAACCTGGGACCAAAAATAAAAAGCCTATCTTCAAAAGCATGCCCTAAACTGTCGAGCCACTTCTGCAGCAAGGAAAAGATTGGAGCCAGTCTGGCACAGTTGAGACAAAGATGATGTAAAGTTTCCTCAGCCTGACAAAACACACAATGACTTCTTACTCTATGGTCTATATATGCCACATGTCTGTTTGTAGCCACAGCCCCATGCACTACCCTGCACTGGAGATCTACAGTGCATTTCTCTATGGGAGGTTTGAACAGAGACCTCCAGCTGCCTCTTGGGGACGACTGTAACAACTGCCAACGTAATAACAGCACACAAGCACACAAACGTAATACAAATCTGCAGCTTTTCATGTGTCATGACATCATGTGTTTGTATGTCACGTGTAGAGCAGACATTGAAATTGTAAATAAATGATGATTGCCACTCAAGAGTTACTTCTTGTTTTCAAATTTTTTGACCACCTTTGGTGAGGGTTTGGTCCACCTGCTGGGAGTAGTACATGAAATTGTAAAATATTATATGTCATATTTCCATTAGGTGGCACTATGAGTATTAATAAATATGAGCATACAGATTCTTTTCAGGGCGCAACTCTTATCAAACCTATATCGTTTGGGGAAAGTTTGGACAGTGCATACTGGAGTTATAGCAAGTTGATTTTTCATGGTGAAGGATCGAAATTCTCTGTGCCAACACAGGCAGGCTGTTCCACGAAAACTCAGTTTTCAGTTTTACAGCAACTATTATAGCTATTATAGCAACTTCCTGTTTCATGGCGAATCATCAAAATTCACCATGCTGCCACGGCCAAGTCCTGCAACATCAATTAAAATGCTTCACAATTTTGAAATCATTGCAAAGGTCTTTAAATAAGACTGACCAAATATAATGTCCATCAGATTAATTCCCTAGGAGGAGTTTGTTAAAGTATGACATCTTGAAATCGCAAAAATTACAGATTAAAGTCAAAATAGCTCATACCTTGTTGGGTTTAGGGTACAACTGTTTTCTGTAGGTTTTGACATGCTACATGTGCCTACAAAGTTTCGTGCATGTAGGTGAAACCCAGTGCCATTTGTGCCACAATAGGTGGCTCATGTGCACGACCAACAAAACATTACATTTTTTGGGTTTTTGGACTTGGGAAGGCCCTCAAAAAGGCCATTTTCATTCAGGAATAAAAATAAACGGTGAGGTTTCAATAGGGTCCTCGCACTGTTCAGTGCTCAGGCCCTAATAATGATAATTATGATTAGTATCACAGTTAAGTTATTTTTGATGTAAATAAATGATAGCAAAATTCAATCACGAAAGATTCCTTCAAGACATGTTATAGATGTATATAAAATACTTTTCTTTGAATAATAATGTGTCTCATATAGTTTTTATGCAAAGAAAGTTAAATTATCTTGTTAAAATCCTTAAAATGACATCTAAACCTGCAAATGTAATAGAGAGATATGTAATACATTTGCAGGAAATAACGTGTTACGTTTGTAGTAGGCAACTGCTATTACGTTTGTGGTTTATTACGTTTGTGGGCTGTTATTACATTGGTGGGTGTTAAAGACTACCCTGGTGCCAACACACCAAACCACCTCGACTCTTGGACACCAGCTAATGACACAGCTACAGCATACAGGTTCCTCTTTGATGCTCTGGAGAAGTCTGGTAAAGAGAGCAGAGCTCCGTCTCCTTCTTCCTGTTCCTCCACTG